GTTTTGTTGCAAAGTCATCTACTAGCCCTCTATATGGCTACTTTGTGGTTTGAAGATGGGTTCTAGGCATCGCAATGGAACGATCTCTTGTTCTTCTCTTGCGAGGAGCTCACCAGTTTTTTGTCTGTAGGTGGCTTAAACTGGGTCGACGAGTGTCCGCGTGTAAGTGTTGTTGGTCTTCCTTGACTTGTCTCAAGCCGAATCTCAAGGTTATCTCTTTGTTCATACCCGGTCTCTTTTTCCTCTTCAGCTATATTGTGGCTTGGTTGTTGTAGTTCTTGTTTCTCTGGTATCAGGTGAAGCTTGCTTTCTTGCCTGTTGGTGTTGCGGTTGGGGACTTCGGTCGCATATCATTATCGGTCTCCATGATGCTATCCGACGTCTACAGTTTCTATAGGAAAACTTGGTGGGTTTCTCTTTGGAACAGGTAGTCAAGTGTAGTGCATTGGTCTTAGCTTTTCCTTTGTAAGCTTCTTTTTATTTAGTTTATCTCGTCATTTGTATAACTCTTCCCTGTTGTTTAGGGCTATGCTTCCCTTGTTTGGGCTTTCGTTTTCGGGGATATCTCATTGTTCCGCTGGCTTTAGTATTTCATTTTTGATTTCCGGAGACATCTTGTTGTTCCGCCGATTGTAGTACTTCATCTTGTATCATTTGCTTGGCATAATCAATATTTACCAGTGTAAAAAAAAAATTGGTAATGTTTTCGATATTGTTTTTGTGATTGGTAAAAATAAAAGTTGTACTATTTGTAGTGTTTTATTTTTTTCACCCATCAAAACCATAAAATGTAAGAAAAAAAATTAGGGAAAAATATCATTTAATAGCCGAACTTTCAAATTGTGGCCGTTTGCCACACCAACTTCATAAATGGCCAATTTAAACATGATAAAAACGTTGACTTCCGTTTAGCACAAGACAAAAACGTTGACCAAGCCAAAACACCAAGCCGTTAACAGATCCGCTAACACCCGTTAACACCCGTTAACACCCGTTAACACCTCCGTTAATGCCTCCGTTACTGCGCAAAAACGACGTCGTTTAGGGTTAATCGACTTTAAACCCCCAATTCGATAGAATCCCCAAATCAGAAAAATCAAATCCCTAATTTTATCAAAATCGAAATTGTTCCGATGAACTAGGAAATCGTGAATTCGTATCGAGGATTGGGTCTGTTGTTGAAGCTGCAATGCAAGGCGAAGTAGATAGAGATGAAGAGGTTGTCATCGGAGATGGAGTTCCATGTCCTCCGGCGGAAGCAGCTTCAGAGTTAGCTGGCGCAGCACAGTGTTCTGCCGGAGCTAAAGGTGGAGCTTCAGGACGGCGTCGGAAACGTAGGAGAGTCATACATGAAGAAGAGGAGGATGAAGAGCCTGAAATGGTGAATGAGCCTGACAAGACAAACAAGCATTTCATTACAACAAGACACAACACAAAAGACCAAACAACTAAAACACATACCAAATAACAAAGAAACTAGTAACTTAGAACAAGTTTCTGGTTTTTGGAAGTATACAACATTAGGAGAACAATTACAGTGACAACTAAACAAATGCAGACCAACCACAATTTGATTCTCTTAATTTCTCTTTTGCTCCACGTTCCATCTTCCTTCAATTCATTGATCATACACTTTAACTCTGCAATCTCGACTGAAACCTCACATTTGGCATTGTTTATTTCATTGTCAATGCTGGATATTTTCGGCTTAGCGTCTACAACCTCTTCGTAGACACAATCTTCAACCCATTTAAACAAATGGCCCTGCGATCACGTTGAAAATGTATTACCGACCAAACCCAATAAACACTAAATCAAATCTACTTACATCATTCAAAGTTGGACAACGGAAGAACGGTTTCCCTGGGTTCTGCTTCGTCTTCGATGTGAGTATGACAACGTCTAAGCCGCAGTGACACTTCGAAGGAAAGCCACGGAACTCGCAACCTCCATCTTGAACACACGAATTGCAACTCATATCTCTGGTAGAATTGGAGAATTCGATGAAAAAAACAAGATTTCGAGCTCAAAAGGAAGATAATGCTGCGAATTGCTGAGAATTGAAAATTTTAGGGTTTGAAATCGATTTGGAGATTTCTCAGAATTGGGGATTCTTCAGCTTTTAGAAGTTTCGATAAAGCTCTAAACGACGTCGTTTTGGGCATTAACGGAGGTGTTAACGGGTGTTAACGGGTGTTAACGGGTGTTAGCGGATCTGTTAACGGCTTGGTGTTTTGGCTTGGTCAACGATTTTGTCTTGTGCTAAACGGAGGTCAACGTTTTTATCATGTTTAAATTGGCCATTTATGAAGTTGGTGTGGCAAACGGCCACAATTTGAAAGTTCGGCTATTAAACGACATTTTTCCCAAAAAAAAATTATACAACACTTGTGGATGAGCAACCTAGAAATATCTCTCTTTCGCCAAAACAAATCACATTATATGAATAGAAATAGAAATAATCGAAGTTGTATAGAAATTAATAAATGGGGACGTTGGTGTCAAATCATAAACACTGTTTCATTTTGCTTTCCACTGACAGAGACGGATTCGAAACGCGTGGTTTGTCACTCGCAATCCCGTGGCTCTACCTCTCATGTAAAAGACACCTCTCTCATTCTTAATTTATTTTTATTATTTCTTCTCGACAATTCAATGTATTTTTGATCTTCGATCTCTAATTCTATACATGCAAAACCTTTCTTGGATAAATATCATTATAAACAATAAAATTCACTGTATTTTTTATGTGAAGTGACACATCTATTTTCAAAAAATTATCTTAGAAACTTCAAATTAGAATAGAGTCTAGAATCTTGTATAAGAAACATATGTCAATATTGATTAATTAACTAACCCATCTCTAATTATTTTGAAACTAATATCCTATGCTAAAATTCTATCGCATCTAAATATAGAGAAGACTTACAATAATATATATAAGAAACATTAACTAATTCACTAATCATCTGTTGATTTTTAATTGAAAATTCATCAAATTTAATGAGTTCTATTAGTATATCGTTTAAACAAGGCGATTAAATATTTTTTAGCGGTTGTAGAAAAAGCAATTAAAGAAAAGGCAGTTAGAGATGGCCGAAAAAAAAATGGCTGAATTAAAACGAGCGGTTAAATAATAGTTATGATTGGTAACAAACTGTTGAATAGTAAATATAATTGTAAAAATAACAAAAATACTTAAAATATAAATAAAATATGGAAAATATATCAATTTTTTTTAAAACTCTTTTAAATGAATAAATATAAACAAATATTTGTGTTAAAAAAAAAAATATTTTTTTAAGAAACTAAAACCTATTAAATAATTTAAAAAACTTCTAACTATTTCTTTTATAAACGAGGCGATTGTAAACTCCGATAATTTTAGGCGGTTTACAACTGCCTTGTCTAAGCTTTCAACCACTTCTTTCAACTAAATATTTTAACCAATCATTTCATCCGCCCATTTCAATCGTTCGTCCGATGGATAACCAAACAAACATGTGTACAAAATGAGATTTTAGAAAAGAGGCAAACGCTTGCGATCAAATAATTATCGACTTGTCGCTGCCAAAAACCAATAACGAAATATTTCATCGCTGAATTTTTCTAACTAAGATTTAAAGATGTTAAATATTCAAGTTTTGAAAAGAAAAAAAATAGCAATATTTGTTTGAACATTTCAAACTATTGATGTTCAAGAAAATTGTTTTTTTTGACAAATATTTTGTGGTAATGTCTTGTTGTGTTACCAATAAATTAGAACCTTTGTGACTTGTGATGCATGTTTTTGACAAAAAAAATTAAGAATAATGTTCTTTGAAATTTATTCTTCATGAAATATTTGTTTACGATCGATGCGAAAAATAGCTTGGTGCTAAAAGTATAGTCGGAGTTATTGCCAAAATCAACACGATGTCTACATGCTGCTCAATTGGCAGCCTTTACCATTGAGACAAAGCCGTATACTTATAGCAAATAAAATCATCTCTGAGAACGAATTTAATTTATTGGACACTAACGCATCAATATATACTCGATAGTCAATATTGAACACATGTTGATTTAAAACACTTGAAAGCCTATGTGCTCTTATATAGTCAACAAAGAGGTATTGTGATAATCCACCGTTTATCACAAGAAACGTTTGTGTTTAAAAGTAGTGTAATCCTAGTTATATAACCCATGATTTCCGGAAAAAAGATAAGATATTTATATGTTAATCAGGTCGTTTTCAAAGTAAAAAATTAAAGTGAAGTAAGAAAACAAAGAATAATGCAATCTTTTAAACACAAAAAAAAAGAATAATGCGAAAAATAAAGTAATCAAAATTTGTAATAATAATTTAAAAGAAAATGAAAAATGTCGCTGCAAATTGCAGACAAAGAACACAGACTCTTCCCTCCTCATGTCATGTCAATGTTCAACTTCAAGTTCCCCACTTTACCCATTGGTCACACACACACTCTCTCTCTCTCTATAACTATGAAATTACCCTTTTCTACGCTGTGTAACACTGAGTCCTCTTCTCTCCTCTCTCTCCTCTCTCTCCTCTCTTGAAGCTACTATACACTCTTGAGTCTTGACAAGTGTGTTTTTGTGTATTGTCTCTCCATCATCTCCCAAAGTAGAAAAGCTAGAAAATAATAAAAAGGATAAAAAAGATCTCTTCCACTTATATTATCCCCTTCTCTCATCTTCTATAAGCAGAAATTAAACTTCACTTCTCTCTCTCTCTCTTTGCCTCACCATTTCTGCTCACAAGTGTTTGTTAGATTTGATCTGAAAAAGATGAATCTATACCTTTTATAGTATCAATCTCATCATCACAACCAGCTAAGTCTCTCTCTCTCTTTCTCACTTTTTTTCTTCTCTAGTGTTCTTCAATTATTGATCTTAGCTCACGATCTACAAAAAAAAGAACCCTAATCTTTCTTTGATTAGAAGAAAAAAAACCAACCCTAAATCAAGATTCTATCTTCTTCTACTTTTCCAAAATCAAGAACAAGAAAAAAAACCATGGATTTGATCTCTCACCAACCAAACAAGAACCCTAATTCCTCAACACAATTAACACCACCTTCCTTAAGCCGGTACGAGAACCAGAAACGCCGTGACTGGAACACTTTCTGTCAATACCTCCGGAACCACCGTCCTCCGCTCTCTCTCCCGTCGTGTAGCGGCGCACACGTGCTCGAGTTCCTCCGCTACCTCGACCAGTTCGGAAAAACAAAGGTTCACCACCAGAACTGTGCCTTCTTCGGCCTCCCTAACCCTCCTGCTCCTTGTCCTTGTCCTCTCCGGCAAGCTTGGGGCTCTCTGGACGCTCTCATCGGCCGCCTCCGAGCCGCCTACGAGGAGAACGGTGGCCCTCCTGAAGCTAACCCATTTGGCTCACGCGCCGTCAGGTTATTCCTCCGTGAAGTCAGAGACTTTCAAGCCAAAGCTCGTGGTGTTAGCTATGAGAAGAAGAGGAAGAGAGTCAATAGACAGAAACCGCAAACGCAACCGCCTCTACCGCTTCAGCAACAGCAGCAGCAGCCACAACAAGGTCAGTCTTTGATGGCTAATTACTCGGGTGCAACAGTATGATCATATTTATATAATTTCCCTTTTTTACTATATGTATTGTCTCTTATTTGCTTTATCTAAGTTTTTAATGTAAAATCTTCTTTTACATTATCCACTGATGCTTTTGTTTCTGTACTAGTTGTTTATGAATAAGATAAACTACGATTATTTACGCTAAAGTGTTTGATCCATTATGTTCTTGGAGTTTTAGTTTGCTTTCAATTTTCACCTTTGAAAGATGATTCGATGTTGATTCTTGATAGTTGATACTCTTAGGGTTCGTGTGTATGATGTGGCCATGTTTTATGATTTTTCAGTGGAGGCATCTTTAAAAATAACTTTGTTAGAATTTAGATCATATATTAATCATTTCTTTCCATGCGATGATGGTTGAGGTTTTAGGAAACATTTTGTATATGCTCAATGATTTAATTATGAATCAAATCATATTTTAACGTCCAAATACATAGATGCTAGATATACTTATGTATTAGTATTAGTATGATATTGTGATATATACTCATAAACACGCCATCTCATAGTCAAAAAGAAAACAAAACATAAAAACACAACCCTGATGTGTTGACAATGAAAATTGTTTTTGTATGATCTCTTAATTAATTTCAGATAATTTTAATTGATAATAGAATAGATTGGTCGTTGTTAGGTCTTGTAGTCCCAAAATTTGATGAGCGAAGTCATCTGACATCCTTTCTCATTAAATGCTTACTATTGTTTTGAATATGAATTTACTGTTTTGACTTTCTAGGTCGCTTTAGCATTGGACTATAGGAGCTAGCCACCTTATAAATTATTGATTCTATTTTATTTCAATGCATTATTGATTGATGTATATAAGAATTTTCTTACGCCGAGTTTAGTATAAGAAATTAAGAGAAAACCATGACTTACTATTAAGATAAGTTGGGCATCAGAAAGTTTCGTCTAACCTATAGTTATGAGTCTAGGACTATGCAAACTTAGCTTTCACTTTAATTATGGAGATTACAATTATGTTATGGATTCTACATTTATCTTTCTTTTTTTAATCTTCATTTTATCTTATTTGTCAATAGTCATGAGTCATGGTCAAATGATATTTTACAACACAAACATAAGTTATAAAGATAAACAGAATCTTTAGCAATAATTTTCATGTATAGTGTTTGATCATTAACTTTTTTTCTTTTCCAAATATGCATCGCTCTGAGCCTCTGATATGTTCAAAAGTGGTAAATTTATATCTGTAAAAAGAGAGGTGTAAAGTTGAATATAGCACTATAGAATTGGAATCCAGTAAACTTTGTCTTTGAAGTTAAATATTTAAAATGTACTGAAATTCTTGTTATTCTATGACAGCCAAAATATCATAATTATAAATATATATACCTTTTTACTATATTAAACTGTAACATTAACATGATGAAAACGGACATTCTTGTTTACGTCTCTCTTAACTGGACATTTGGTTACAAAAAAGTATTTTATTTTACCATTTTTGTAACAAAAAGAAAATGAACATTCTTATAATATACATGTCGTGTGATATAAATTTTTTTATTACATAAGTTACGAGGCTTTCCAGATTAAGAACCTAATAGGTTTGTCAAATAATAAGAGTATAATTAGTTAAAAAGCTAAACCTAAAATGTATCTATATCTAGAAACAAAACACAACACAAGAAAACATGCACATCAAATGGGATTCAATTTCTTCACGTGATATATTCAATAAAGAATCAGAAATTTAATCTTACCATACAATAAAATAATAAAATTATCATTCGAATTCACATAAATCAGAGAAGATCAAAAACCTCTTCGATAGACACAAATAGGAATTCCCAAACAGCAGACAGGTTGGTACGATGTTCTCACACTACACAAAAATGATCGGTTTAGATTTAACATACTATTAGAGAAGAGCACCCGATGCTTGCCACGTGTCCTTAAGCTTTACTTACATAAGTGGTCCCGGATTCGCACGTGGAATCGAGTAAATTCTGTCCGGCGCGGTGTACAATAAGATCGAATGGACCCTCTTTTAATATATTAATTGTTTTAATTTAAATTTTATCTTATTATAAAAAATTATAAAATAATTGTTACCACTCACCACCAGCTCTATTTTTCTCAGATTTTTTTTTTGTCAAAGTTGTTTTTTCTCTTTTTTCCAGATTTAGGAAGAGACCTCGTTATAGTGACATAGTCTTTTAGACCTATATAGGAATCTCGACTCCATTAAGTTCATTTTTCTTGTTTATAAAAATGCATATTTTATTATTGTATGCATGTATCATGCTACTCCAGAAAAAAACAAAAATTATTGGAGGCTAAATATGTATAAACACTAAAGATCAAAATGAGTCAATCGTCATTATACACGTTACTATACAAACACTATTTGGTATATTTATTAACGATGGGTTTTTCTTTTGAAATGTTTGAATGATATGAGAGATATTATTGAACAACCAAATCAAGTAAAACAGATGAAACACATGTAGATATTAAAAACAAGTAGATGTTAAAATATTTTTGCTTAAAAAACAACTTTAAATTCTACAAAAGAAAACGATAGCATAAATTTTGGATTTTGTTGTAATAGATTTATTTTTCGTATTGCAATTTTTTAAATAATTAGCATAGGGATCCTAGTCTAGTTAAATTTAAAATGGAATTGTTGGCCCCCAAAAATGTAACTCTACAACCTCTATGACAATAGAAAAGTCTGCATAGTAAAACCAATTAGAATGTCAAAATAAATAAATCATCAAAAGTTGACCTCGTTCTCAATGATCAATAATGAAAATCTTATGACAACTTACGGGTTCGAGTCACCTAGTTGTAGTTTATTTTGTAATCAAAATGATGTTATTTTCTAGTTTAACACATATATTTAACTGAAACTTATTCCTGTTAATTTATTATATTAGTCAACTTAAGACGTGATTATTTTGTTAAAATCAACCAAATTTTACGATTAAAATGAGAGGTCAACAAAAAATTTTCATTTAATTTAGAGGTCAACAATAGTTTATTATATATTTTACCGAATGCAAAGTTGGAGATTTTTTCCAAAACTTTTTATAAATTAAGGATTTTCCGACATTTTTTCCGATGAAATTTAGACACCAATATTGTAGCAAACATTTCGACCATAGTTTCCGACGGCATTGAGATTTTTTTTTTCTCTCGCTCATCTGTCGTTAGTTCTTTATGCCCATGCTATTTTCATTTTTGATTTGTTTTCCTGACCACCGTGTTTATTATAGTTCTGATCTAAATGTTTAGACTAACATCAGAATTTTTTCGAAGAAATTATAAAATCATCAAATCAATAAACAAAAATTTACATAAAACATAGCATCTCAAAACCCATTTGAAAATCTGATTTTCTTATGGAAAATAAATCCCAGTACACAAGAAATAGTTTAAAGAAAAAAAGAAACTGATCCTAACCTCTGAAGTCTTATCTAAAAATCTTTAGTGTCCTTTTTTGTTATCAGTGGCAAACCTTGAAGCATAGAACTTAAAATAGAGCAGATTCGCGACTTGAATACCGGCTATTATGAAAAAATAGTTCTCAAGCCTGTTCTTGTTCAAGTCTTTGTCTCCTAACCACGATTTCCCTTCCTTGCGTGTCACGGCATCAATCACATTTATAAGAAGTGTGCATATGTAACTCGCAATCGATGAGCTCAAGAAGAAGATTGCTCCAGCAACTGCTCTCATATGCTCAGGCATCCTAACTGTCAGAAACTCCATAAGAGCCACCGCGGAAAACGCTTCGGTTAAACCCGCAAGAGCAAACTGAGGAAGGAGCATTACAATAGAAATTGGCGATACGAATGAGCCATTCTTTAGAGCGGAGGCTCTTCGCTTCTTCTCTTGGAAAGCCGCGACAATCATACAAGCGATTCCCATTACGATACCTAATACAAATGTTGTTAGAAAACTAAATATCAACAATATACCTATCTTGTAAATCTTTGAACAAAAAAGAAAAAAAAAAAGCAATACCTATCTCAATTCTTTGTTTCATCGTCAGCCGTTTTTTCCGTCCCGTGATTTGTTTCACTATTGGTATGATAACACACTCGTAAAGTGAGATCCAAATCGCGAGAGTGATCATAGAGACGAGATTCATCCATCCTGCTGGGACTTGGAAATTATGTGGTCCGAACGTTTTATCCATCTGCATTGCTTGAAGGATCCCGTAAATGTTTTGTTGGTCAGTCAGTATGAAACACGCGATTCCCGTGACCCAAACTGGTAAAATTGCGGTCACACACTTGAGGTTTTTCACCTGCTGCACACTACATAATCTCCATTTGTACTTAGCATTACCTTCTTCATTTAACTCGTTCGGATTAGTTACCACCGATGCTTTGTCAAAAAACCTTAACCTGTCACACGGAAACATCAAAAGAATGCAAACTTAATTAGAGACTTTACTGATTAATTACACTCATATATCATAATGAAAAATTGTGGATTGATTTAGGGAAAATAATCAATTTTACAAGATGCAAATTAACAAATTATTTTAAATATTAAATATAATTTTAGATTCATTTAGAAGATTAAACTTGCTATTGATGATATATGCAAAAGATAAAGCAACTAAAGAATCTTATGTAAGTAACAACAAACCTTTGTTTGTCTCGGACCAAAGTGGTGGGTGATCCATCATTAGAAGGGCCTATGTAGAACATTATATCTGATCCAGATTTCAGCTTACGTTTCTTACAAGCCGCGGCAACAACCTTAACTATGTCTGCGAACACACTGCCCTCAGGTTTTGCACATATGTAAGTATGCTGACCAATGAGGAAGGTGGTGATGGAGAGTGCAAGACAAGCCGTGGGGATCACGAAACCAATGACCCAACTGATGTTAGTCTGTATATAGACTACGCCTGTCAGTGCAATGACTAGAGCCACAGTGAAGGAAAAGTACCACCAGTTAAAGAATGTTTCAAGCTGAGCTTTGCCCTTTTTAGTGCTTGTATCGAATTGATCAGCTCCAAATGCGATATTGCATGGTCTTATTCCTCCTGCACCAATGGCTAGTAAACCTAGACCGGAGAATAGAACCCCAAGCTGCCATTGCGCGGGCTGGTTTGAACAATTTGATGGATCGATGCAAGCCTCTGGTCTTAATCGCGGGA